TGTTTAGTACAAAAACAAAATGAAAAATAAAAAATATTTCCATGAAATTGTGCGGTTTCATTCTACACGCTGTTGAAACACTAGAAAACAGTAGAAAACTGTAAAATTTGTAAAGTATGAAAGCAGAAAGCTCTTCCAGGGTTTCTATTCCGTAGCACGGTTATATTTCGAAGAATTCTTCATGTTGAGTAATTCCTTTATAATACAGGAGGGTAATTATGTTGTGCTGCGTATACATTTTTATTTCATGTGACTTTTTAGCTTGATACATTTACATATAATGAAAAAACCATAGTCGCTGTAGATAAATCCCTTCTTGGAATTGATGATCTTCAATGAAAAGACTTCGCATTCAAAACAGTGACCCAAAAAAGATAAAGAAGACATCGAAAAAGTAGCATAACAAATATATTCAATAATCTCACTGCTTCAGGCAACAACTAGCAAATACGACAACAGCAACAAATCACTTCAATCACTTCACTTTCACTCTCATTTTAAAATGTATGTCACATTTTAACAACAAGCCATAAGATTTCAAGCAGGTGTGAATGTTTTTGGATGATGTAGTTAAAAAGCGAAATTACTTTTATGGGTACACCAAAAAATTTTTATATTTAAATAAAACGCTATGACTTGGTCTAAAATAGCTAACAGCAGAGCACAGTTGAAGTATGTTTTTTGTAAAACCAGTCATTTGCCCAAAAATAAAAAAATAACCGGCTTTTATGCCGCTGCACTTTAAATCAAATAAATTGAAATGCCACTTTCCCCTCAACAGGCCGCTTCTACTGCATAGACGAACATATGGTTGTATTTTGAGTTACTTTACTAGCTACTTCTCTGTCTAACTATTATTATTCTCTTTTTTGTTCATGACTATTTTTTTAAGTTCAGTGACTTCTCAGCTTACTTTAAATCCATTGTCTGTCGGTATCAACGTTTTTACCTCAATGTCTTGTATTTTCCCTCTATGTGTGGCCCGTGTTATGATGTTTCTGCGCTGCTACACGCACTGTAAACATCATTACTAAAGGGAACGGTGCGAGAAACAAAAAAAAACTAGTTTAGATTTTAAATATATTGCCTATATTTTGTAAATTAAAAAAAAAAAAACAATACGAATTCGGGAAAGTTTTGTTAAGAAAAATGTGTAAAATTGAAGATACTATGTGTTATAATTAAAAAATACGACATTGCAAAGATTGATTAGAATATTAAGTAGTTCCAGGACATACATTAAATCTGTATAGGAATACAAATGTTCCGATTTCCGAAAATATTTTTTACAAAACTCATCAATGCTACTCAATTATTATTTTAATTATACAATTAGCTTAGAGTCTCGATATAACGATTTTGGACGTTCCAATTACACTTTAAAATAGTTGTGTTTGCAAAGACTTTACAGTTTCACTTTTACGATGATCTTCAACGATCTTTAGTTTTTCACTAAACAACAAAATGCTGGCATTGTATTTGTTTCTTTGCGTTTTTGAATTAACAATGTCGGCAACGAAAAACTTGCTTCACTGATTTTCCATTGTTAATATTATCTAGCAATTATATTCACATCAATGACAATATTAATGAGTCATTTTCTACTTTGGGAACTTTCGTACTCAGCCAAGCTTGATTAAACGTCACAATCATACAAACAAAAATATGAAGCTCTTGCAATAAGAAATTAATAAGACAAGGGATTTGATTTTTCATATATTCATGTATATGTCATTGCATTCAAATTGACCATAAGTGGGTAATAGTAGACAGTGTCAAGGACATGTGTTGTTAATAGGCATATACTTGTATTCTATCAATGTTGAGGGTAACACTATTGCTATGTTCCGATATATAACGTGTTGAGGTATGAAACGTATGTCGAGGTAAATTTATATTGTTGGGAAATGTTATGAGAATTTTAAATATATAGGAATAAGAAAGATAATTCTATTGAATAATTCTCTTGAAACCGCGCATTGATTCTCCATCAGAATGCCTTTAAATTTAAATCTATTTGGCCCCTATTGATTAGAATGACGAAAATAGTTCCAAAATTCTTTTCATTCCATAGAATATTAAAATTATCTATACAACGTGTATTTGGTTTCACACTCACCATATTTGGTTTGTATGGTCGATTCGTTCTCAGCTCACGTACTTGATAAAATATAAGAATAACAATATACATGTTAGTTCATTTTGATTTTCACCTTTTTTACGATATTTGTTAAATTTCTGTATAGTTCATAGCTGTTAATTTTCCCGCTAATCATAGACATTTATTCTTTTTAGGTTAACATTTTTTAGAAAAATAGTTTTTAGGATGTATTGCACATACAAAATTTACATTGTTTCCAAAAAAATGTACTTATAAATTTAAATGCCAGAAATACATACATATATGGGCAATATTGCCAATTTTTTAATATTCCATTTTCAAAAAATCAGCTTTTTTGTTTTTGTGGCACATCAATGATTTTTGGTACACATATAGAGAAAAATGTTCTGACTCCGAAACCGTTCGGAATCAAATTTTTGGTTGATGCGCGCAAAAGTTATCGAGGTTTTAATTTTGGGCATAAGAAATAAATCTTAAAATTACGCCGTTTATTATATTGACCAAAAACGTTGATATATATCTTCCTCCGTAAAATAAGAATATGAATATATTATAATAATTACGATAAAGTTGCACATATTCGCGAAATATAAGAAAAATAAAAAAATATATAGCAGATTACATCAATATTTTCATTATATTAATAACATTCACACACCTAAAAATTAATTTAAAAATATCTACATAATCTAAACACCATGATGAATCAAATGATATCAAAATCACACAAGTCCGTGTAGCGGTTTCTAAATCACAGCGACAACAAAACAAGATATTGAGGAAAAATATTTGTTTTTGGTTCGAAAAAATAATGTCATCATATTTATTATTTTAATTGTATACAAGAAATTTCAGAAAAAAATGTTGGGGTTGTTCTGCTATTTTACCCGAATTTCGACGAAAAATTGACATATATAATAATAATCACTTTTTGTGTATAAGTATACGCCTTGCGGATTATATCAAGACCCTTCCGATAAATCTTGGGGTTCTATAAATAGGAATAAATCTTAAAATAAAATAATATTATGAAATATACATTTTAAATTGCGTGTAAATCGCGTAATTCTCAAAATCATTTGATGCGCATGCGGTTTCCAGGAAGTACTGAAGTTTATCTTCCAATCCATATATATTTTGCGAAATTTCATTTGACGGCTAAGATGTGCCACACGTCACATTGAAGTACCCAAAAAATCGTAAAACGCGAATAATTTTCGAAAACTTCATATGCCATAACGCGCATTCGATTTCGGTGTGCACCCTAAAAAATACATCGATCTATACCGATTTCAATGTGGTCCATTAAGAACCATGGATGTGCCAGCACAATCTATTTTTGAGATAAATTGCATACATCTCTCTTTCGGCTGAAGTTTTTAAAGTTCTCTTTTCGAAAAAGATCAAAATCCATATGAGGTCATTTATTGAAGCGGAAATGATACACAGAAAACGCAAATAAATCCGCGATATTTTCAAAAACATTTTTTGACAAATTTCGTGTTCTTGGAAGGCCAGTTCCCGCCGTTCTAGTAGATGGATTTTCACGAAGAAGATTGTATATCATCCGAAACGTAAAAAACCTTATTGATCGCGGGTACCCATATCATTCAGTTGACAGATCTAAAAATTTGGCCCGAAAAATAGGTTTTTTAGAAATTTGATCGCTCAAAATTCGCACCTTCGGATGAGTATTACTGTGAAGCTGTGCATACTACATACACAAAATACATATCAAATTACGCAGATTCGCGACTACAATAATCTTATAATCGATTTTTATAAATTCCTGTTTGCGTATTAAAGCTAGAAGTAAAATTAAAAAAACACTCAAAATCGAGCTTCAAAATGTCAGCATCATTTAAAGGTAGATGCAATTAAAATTTTGAAAAATGATACATAAGGGCCGTAGTCCTCATTTTGTTGGCTTCTAGTTTTATTTTGACAGGAAGACCGTGCAACGAGTGGCTTAGTCACAAACCGATAGGGAACATAAAAAAACTGGTTCGCCTCAACGTGTTTTTACACATTTTTTTACATTAAAGTAGACACAGCTTCCACCAAAATAAAGTTTGGAGGTCAATATCATGAACAGTTTGCAACGACAAATCAATTAACCCAAAACTATTCACTTTTTTCCATATACTTAAGTAGTTCCCGAGTTATAAAGAGGTGAACCTCCGCTTCAGCTATGTTATTAGGTCATCTGCTGCCCTTTTTTCATTTAACCTCTCGTTCAACAAAGCACAACTTTCCACTTTTTCCATTCTGACATTTTGGCCCATTTTCAAAAATGAGTATAAACGCTAAGGGCCATTAAACTTCTCCTTTCGTGTATTATTTTAAGACAAAAGCCAAGCACACGCAAACAAACAATCACACTATTTCTATGTATTAAAATCTAAACTTATTCACTGTTCCAGTATTTTTTTAATACTGTAACTAGTAATAGACGGAATCATTTAAATAGCACTGACCGTATCTAATGTAGTAGAATACAGAAAGTTATGGAAGATATCTGTAGTGAAAGTACTTTTACAGTTTGCAATTATTTTATTTAAAATAATACACTTTCCACAATGATTTTTCTAAATACACATCGCCAATAGAATGTTAGTGCTGTTTTAAAATAGAAATGGCGATTAATGAGTAAATTTATTCTATGAACATAGCATGTGTTCAATTCGAGAAGACTTTTTGGTACGATTGTTAGGGGAGAGGGGGCTCCTTTGATATATATATTACCTACAATAAATGATTATTATGTCATATTCTTTAAATTTGGAATGGATTAATAATACTACGAAATTAACTGTAATTCTCACCATATTAATTTTTATTGTGATGCCTCTTTAAGAAAATACATGCAAAAAATTGTTTAACTAATGAAAACGATCATTGAATTCTTTCTGCGCATTAAAACAAAAAAAAATAAAAGTTTACAATGGCACTGCGAAAACGTCTTCATTCATTACATTTTTTCGACAACTTTAGTTATTTACGATGCTAGAGAACAATATTGTCATATAAAAAAATGGTTGCTGGTAGAAAACATTTTAAACCGAGACTTAAGGGGCGCTGTTCAAAAGTGCACCGCTAAAAATAAATATAAATAAAAACAACCACCAAATTTTAATTTAATTAACTATACAGTTTTAACACCATTTCTATATATAACAATATTTGACCAAAAAATTTAATATCACCAATTTTATAAAATGTTAAACGTTTATTACTCAATAATTAAAAATTCTCTCTTGGCATATTTAATCTTGAATGTATATCAATAATGTGGCCAGAGTCCATACAGGAAGATTTATTTATAGAATTAGTAAACAAATGTTTTCGAATACATTTACTGATATAGTGCCGGATAAAATGAAACGTATATTATTTAATAATGTGGACTATCGTAGTAGACCACCCCCATATCTTTAAAAACGTTTTCTCAATTAGTGAAAACAAAAATCAAATATGAATCTGAATAAATATTTGCAATGTTGAAAATTTAATTAGCTTCTGATTGTAAATTAGCACATCGATATGTCAAGTTACAGTAACTTCGGTTAAAGCTAGGACCTTAAAAATACCGCAAATGGGGCGGTACTCTTAAATGGGAGCTACTTCAAAACATGTACCCATATATTTATTACTTTCATTGTTATCGTACTATTTTGCTTCCGCCCTAGTAGTTCATAAATTCCAAACTTCGTAGAATAATTTGTTTATACAAGTCAAAGGAAATAGTTGTAGCAAACAGCAAGCAACAACACTCAATGTTAGCAAATTTCAGAAAAAGTGCAGCCACAATTTTCTTTCAAATTGAGTTGAGATAATGAAAGCAAACAATACAAAAAAGTGAAATGGTGAAATTAGAAACTGAGTTTGAAATGAGTTAAATGTCTCACCTACAAATGAGCTGCAAAATCTTATTCATGTACGTATCTTAGGAAAATAGTCACATAAAAACAAATGTGCGTGTGTCTTCATGGATGTTTTTATTGCAGAAATATGGGAAAGAGAAAAGCAAACAGAAATGAGAATCAAAACATTAACCAAAAATGCATAGAAAGTTTAAGAAATCCGATACATGAATAAATATACAATACCAAGGACAGACAACGTCAACAACTAACATGGGCAACAAAACAATTGTCATCAGTGTTGAATCTACTCAAGACATTTATGTACATACATACGTTCATTATGTGTATTAGGGTAGACTGAACGATATAACTTAAAGAAAAGAAAATACTTTTCAGCGCAAGTCCAAAATCCAAAAATTACTCTAAATTGAGTTTACTGAGATCAACTACTTAAAATTTCTTATTTCAAGAATATACTACTAAAGAGGTACATATGTAGGTGACTCAGATGATTATACAATGAGATGAATTTGCTCGGCATTGTGATACCACAATTGAATAGATAAAACACTTGATATGAACGATATTATTTATTCATATACTAAGACTGCGATACTTGGCGATGAGAATGACATGGAACGTTTGATAAAATGACGTATAGCTAGCAAAACGTAATCAAACAAAAACACAACTTATATTTATTTGTTTACATATTGCTATGAGTGCTTACATGTTCATTTGTACATGAACAAATATTCCCAATGATGATATTATATAGATCGATGTGAACCCGTAAATCATAGCTTATCAATAATGTTTGTATGACAATTTTTATATTAACGCGGTGTCGTTAATTACCGAGATTAAATAGCAAAAACGCATGACATGTTTTGTATCAAATTGGTTAATTTCAATATGCATATGTACTTCAACTGATTTAAACACGTTATCAGTTTTTGTTAAAAAAAAATAACAAATTCTTAAACAATACAAGTTTCCGCAACGAGAAACAACATTTATGTGATATGGAATGTATGTGTGTTATACGTATTTATGCCACTGTTTGATTGATAAGAAAGGAGAATGGATAAAAATATACTTATATTTAAAGCCTGGATCTATCAAAATACCGACCAGTATTGCTTATTGGAATAAACTATATATGTTGTGATAACAGACTGCAGTAAAATCACAATAGCTTATAACGACAAAAAACCCATAATTTTTTACGTTATATGAAATGATTGAAAATTTAAGTTATTATACTTATGAGAAAATAAGGTAGTATGTAGTTAACTTACCTTTTATCTTCTAACAACTTTTCGGCAGTACTTAATCGTAGTCTCACTGTTTTCATACTTTGTAAGGGAAATAGTTTACATATGGGTGTAAGAAATTTGGGCCGCCAGCAGTAGTGGGGATACTCTTTGCATAACTGCCACAGTCTTTTGTTATGTTGAAATAAATGTACGTTTTTCTTTCCGTAATTCAAATAATCTTCCATGTCATTGTAATAATCGCAGTAGAACAAGCTTTTCAGATGTTTTATGGCTTGCTCCTCCTCTTCGGGGGTACGCACTTGTTTAATGCCAATATGTAACAGTGGTTCGTAGTGATAGTAGTTTCCAGGCATTGCATTCAGAATGTCTCCCAAAAATGTAGAACCACTTCGCCATGTAGTGAGCACCATACTGCGCACAGGAACTCCTTCAGTTTCTGGTGTAAGGTCAGACAATTTTTCTGCATCCACACCGAAACGACCAGCAGGATATTCAAAGTTTTCCATTTCTTGTGCAATCTTTGCTCTTTGCTGGGCAACGACTTCTCCTATTGTTGATAGGCTGCTATACAATTGCCCATTGCCATTTCCAGTGGTATATACACCTCCAGAAGGTACATTTAAAAGATTATTTCCATTATTATCTACGTTACTCACTGAACCCATTGACGACGAAGAAAGTGAGGATGGCAGTGGCCTGTGCTGTGTGGTGGCTACTAGTAGCAGTATGCATAAGCAACTTACGCCACAAACCCCAATCAAATTTGCCCGACGACTCATTTTTTTGCGTTTTGTTACAAGGCCCCCACGTACTTGAGATCGACTTCTTTGCACTCCAGATACTTTTGTCGTTGCAGCACCAGCGGCCTTAGAACCTACTTCTACTCCCGTTAAAAGCGAAACTGTCGCTGCGTCTGTTTCCTCATAGGCACTCATAAATACAGCTTTATTTAAAACTACACTATATATTTTTACAGAGAGTTGTTTATGGTGAAAACGTTTCCGCCACTTTTGTCGTTTGTAGTGAAATATTTCCAATAATTACACTAACAGCTGACTTTCACAACATTTAGGTTGCACTAGTAAATTTATTGGGCAGTGCACACTTCATAGGACATGATTTATTTTTTTTTTCAAGGCTATTTTTCTTTCACTTGAACCCGATACCCGGATATACGCAATACATAATAAATATTTTTACATCTCTATATTGGTGTGAACAAAAACAAAGTAGACTGTCCTTGTTGTTTGTCCTCAAGAAATTCTATGGGACTAGCTTGAGGTCGACATCATAAATCCTTATGCAAAATTTGATATAACATTTAAAATAATAAACAACAGATACACTTTACGGTTCCACAAAATTCCAAAAACGCCTAACACATATCTAAGACCGTTCAACACCCAACCACTTAACTCGACGAGTATAAAATGAAAACTGTCAAACATGCAAAAATAAATTCCTATACCGTTCCGATTCGAAACATATGCATATTTTATCGATAAAACCGATAATTGTATTTATAAACTGTGTTTATCGATTACTTTGAAGTAGAGTACACACAATCGGCCAAGACATTTAATAGAAATACAAACAAAATAATTAAAAAGGAGGTTGTTAGCAACACATTTAATAATATTTTCTCAACGAATTTGTGTTTAAAATTTATGAATCTGTTGGTTTTACCATTTTTTGCATATTACTGCTCACACATAATTAATTGTTTTATTTGAATTAAATTTGAACTTAAATAAAATCATCGGATATACTATTTATTATAGTACACATACATACACGAAATCATGGTACAATTATTACGACTTTGGAATTTGGAAAAAAATTGTAAGTTTCCTTTAATAATTGCACAATGCAAATGTGTATTTTAATTTCGGTAAAGCAGACTTTAAGAAAAATATATAATCAGTCCGAAGCGAATTAGCACTTCATTGCACGCATCAATTAACTCAATAAAACAAACGTATGAGAAAAGTTTGCAATTTTATAAAAATCAGCCTTTGAGGCTTCAAATTGCATTTTTTGAAATAAATAAATAAACGCGATGATGTAATTTATATTTGGTCTGTTCCCGTACTGCAAGAATCTACTACTTTTTACTACGACAACGAATTTTCCTTTATGTCATCGAAGAAAATAGTAAAATCTAGTGGATTCTTGCAGTACGGGAACAGACCAATTGTTTTTAAAGTTCCTGTGATAATTGGTCTTTTCCTGAACTGCAAGAATCTACTCGATTTTACTATTTTCTTCGATATCAAATATATTATAGAGAATGCATAACGGTTCTAATTTTAGACTAAATTCCCATTGTACTATAATAAGAGGATATATTGAGGTGAACATCCTGCATGTAATGGTCTGTTCCGTAAAAAAACAAACATAGCCACGATTTTTTTTTAATTTTTTAACGTATAACTAAATGAATCGTCGAGTAGAATTTGGGTTCTTCCAATCTGGAATACCAGATATATTTCAATTTATTACCATGATAAACAGCTTTATAATTATTAATTTAAGATAGATTCAGAAACAACAAGCAAACAGAAATTTTTTGGTTGAAATTAATTGTAATTGGTCTGTTCCCGTACTGCAAGAATGTACTACTTTTTACTACGATAACGAATTTTCCTTTATGATATCGAAAAAATAGTAAAATCTAGTAGATGTCTGCAGTACGGGAACAGACCAAATGTTAACCGAAAACTCATTTCAGAATCAATCAATTGGGAGTATTGATAAAATAAAAAAACAAATTATAAATTGTAGACTTTAAATGTTTCACCAGCTTTGTGTCCAAGCCAATTACTTATGACGTCCTTATAAAGGGCACAAGCAAGCAAAAAAATAGTAAAATCGCGTTATATGTTATGAAAATACAACAACCACAATGTTAACGATATGTGTTTGTGTTATCGTTTCCTTGTGGTTGATAAAAAAATCAAAAAACAAATAATAAATTGTAGACTTTAAATGTTTCACCAGCTTTGTGTAAAAGCCAATTACTTATGACGTCCTTATAACTGTAATAAATTCCACTCTGGTTACATCTTATTTAAACTACAATTTGTAATTTGTTTTTTTATTGATATTCAAATATCTGAAACGTTCAATTCATTTCCCATTCTCTCCAAATATATTGTGAGCAATTGGGAGTAGATTCAAAAAACAAATAATAAATTTCACCAGCTTTGTGTAAAAGCCAATTACTTATGACGTCCTTATAACTGTAATAAATTCCACTCTGGTTACATCTTATTTAAACATGTAACGCTTTTTTCATTGATATTCAAATATACGTTCAGTGCATTCTTTCCCATTCTCTCCAAATATATTGTGAGCATTTGGTAACTCTGTTTAGTAGATATCCGAATACCCGGTTCGCCATAGGAAAAGTACGGATGGAATACATCTCTGAAATAAACAAAAAAATCCCACTAACTACGGACCAAAGACATTTCACATGTGTTTTTGCGCTCTCTCAATAGAATTTTTTGTGGAAAAAATGAAAGGAAAAAGCCATAAATACCAATTATTCGACTTCGCATGTAGATAATCGTCAACGTCGTCGTAGTAGTTTTTGTGAGAAGAGGTTGAATGTGTGTAAAAATTAAGTGCCGCCCGACAAAGCGAAAAAAATAAGGATACTAAGAAATTAAAAAAGAAATAATTATTCCGAATTCCTTAGCAAAAATCAAGCAATTCTTGCCTATTGAAAATAAATTTGTCGCTGTCGGAAAAGAATGAGCTCAATTATTGTGCTAGATTCGTCCGACGAGGATGAGGTAAAAAGAATAAAGTTTTAAGAAAATGAATGAAAAAGAAAAAGCTTAATGTGTGTTGGCGTTGTGTGTGTGTTTCGTGTTGTTTGTATAGGTGCTTTGACACGAAAAACGATTACTTTTTACCCCAAAGTGGAGAGTTAGGCGTTAGTGATGTAAAATCTTACCACTGGAGACCTAACTCTTAATGGTGTTGTGAAATTGGCAATCAAAACAAAATACAATAAGAGAAAATTAAAAGAATGTAAACAAAAATAATTTCTTGATTGTGTATATGAGTTTTCGGTAGTGGGAATTTCCTTTCATATCGGAAAATTATTTAAATTGTGAATTTTCTTTGCCGACTACTTTTGTTTCTGTCAACAAAATCAATTTCCACATCACTATTCTCTCTCTTGTTCAAGTCTACAAAAAAGTATAAAAACAAAACAGTAAAAATCTTGTTTTGTTTTTGTGTGTGTGAGTGAGCGAATACGTCAGTGTATAGTGTGCATTTCATACATATTTCCAACATATACACTGACTTTGTCTGTGGCCCGGAGTGTGACCGTGTATATCTTCAGACTGCTTTTTGCAGTATTTTACTTTTTATTGTTAATTGCTCTTCTCTGAGTACAGTTTACACCAAAAATGCTATTGAATAACACGCAATTAGTTTAATAGACAGGCGGTGACTAATGAATCGAATCTAAGATGAACCAAATAGAGGAGAAAAAAGTCTCCACGAACTTAACAGAGCTCTGTTAACTGATGGGTTCCCGCGTTTTCTTTTAGTTTCAAAATAAACAATTTTAACAGGGATGTGTTAAGGAAACTGTTAAGTACCATAATAAAACAGTAAACACCGACAGGATTCGAAAACAAGACACAATTTAAACCAATAACTATTTTTGTCAATGGTAATCTAATATTGTTTTTTTTTTTTTTCATTTCTGCAGAGTCCACCAAAAAAGTCTAGTTTAACGACATCACCAGATGTTTCTGTTACATCGAAATCACAAGTCAAAAATTCCAAACAAAGAACAATTCCTAGTGGAATAACCGTCACCCAACGTCAAACCCCCCAGGCACAAGGTCTCAATGTTCCGAACAATCCAATAAGCCAATTCCAGTCTGGTACCATAAATCATGCTATTACTAGTATCATTAATGATGAGCGGCAAACTCCTACACCTCCCAAATTGGCTCAAGGGAATAGTTTGGCGGCACAGATTACAAGAAAAAGGAAGACGCCAACACCTCCCCAGGCTCGATTGGCAGCTAAATCATTTGCCAACAACATGAGTGGATCAAATATAATGTCTCCTGCTGCTGCCGCAACAACTATGGCTCCATTACCGCCGATTATGCCAATGATCTCCGGTGTCCATTCGGCGGCTGGTCCTTCAACATTGCCTCACAACTTAGCAGCATTTACAGGATTGAACGATCAAATGATTATGAATCCTATTTTTCATCCAAATTTGCCTCCCAACACGACCATCACTGCTCACACTAGTCTAAATCTTAATAATTTAAACAATAATTTCAAAATACATTTGCCTCCAAAACCTGTGACCACTCCTTCACCCGCTGCTTCTCCATCTGCGTCAAAAACGCCGTCGCCTTCTCAAACAGTTTCTCCGACAATACCAAGGCGAGTTGACAAATCGACAAAACGGGCGAAACTAACGACGGTTTTGAAATCATCTGACGAGGCGTGGCAACAGCAACGAAGTAAGGCTCGACTATCAAACGACAAACAAAATAATGATGTCGTGGAAATGGATATGCACTCACCTAGATCCTACAAGTCACCAACATCTTCGTCAACAATCAAATCAAATGATGTATTGGATTTAACAGACAGTCCGGAAAGGAATCCTACAACTGTTATAAATTTAACCGATATGCCGTCGACAATAACTACGCCAGACAAGAAACAGATTAATGGTGAAAATGCATCAGCCACAAAGGAGCCCAAAAACAATAAAGACAAAGAGGCCAAGGTCAAGCCTCAGTCTAGGCCGCCTCTGGAACCTGAATATGCTGAACTCATAAAAACATGTCGAGAAGCAGATCGTTCAGACGATATGGAAAAACTTATAAAAACTAAGCTCATCAAATATTACTATGAAGTTCATGAGGATTTTGTGAAATCGAAAAGTTTTCGAAAAAATATACAAAAGGTTGTGGAAGCGATACGTGCTGAACCAGATTTAGTCTATTATAACTTGAAGACTATTGTAGAAGAACTAAAAGCGAGGCGCAAAGCTAAAGTTATTGAGCCACTGCCTCAAGAAAAAAATGAAGAGAAAACACCTGTTGCAGAAGACGACACCCATCCAATGCCAACGACTTCTTCTGCAAACAATACTGAGATGGCAACGCCTACCAATATTTCAACTGGCAACAAAAAATTGGATGAACAAATCAAAAAGTTAAATAAGGCGTTATATGTTTTAACAAAGAGAATTCAAGTACTCGAAGAGACAGCTGTGGATTGGGATGATGACGACTCCAGCTTTCTTCAAGTCGAACGCTTTAAAAAGAGAGCTTGTCAGGTAAGCACTTTTTAATATTAGCTTATAAATAGGTATTTTAGCCAATATTTTTAAATACTTACAGTGGCCATGTTCATCTGGCATACTTGAGAGAATATTAGTAATACCAGAAATTCAAAAATTGTATCTATTTCAGATTTATGAAAAAATTTGTGATCTTACTGGGGAGAGCAAAAATGCGCGCAGATTGGTGAAGAAACCCATAAAATTCAACGAAACTTGTATACCACAATTTAATAAAACACTACAGGCTTTTATAAACCGCACAAAAGAGTTTCCTGATTACTTTGATGTACTTAGAATGTTGGAACACTGCAATACAACATACAATCTCGGATTAGTAAACTTCGAAATGAAAAATATTGGTAAGTAGGTGGCGATTGAAACTGTGTCCTTGTTATACTTATTTATTGTTCTTACTATATTTAGCTGAAGACGCATTCATAAAGGTGGGAAAACTTCTACAATCCAGGCGCAAAGCTGAATTGTATGAAACAGTCACGCATTATGGTGGTAACTCTAAAGATCCTGCACTTGTGGATCCAGCGTTAGCGGCTAAATTAAGTGAAAATCAGAAAAACCATAAGAAAATTAGTGACATATTGGAAAAATATGCACGCAAGCAAGACATGCCCGAAGAGGACGACGAAGAGAATAAGGCTGACAATAAAGAAATAAGCGGAGACATAAAGGAGGCTGCGACAAATGATTCAAATGAACAAACGTCCAGTGTCACGTTACAAAAAACCGAGGCGGACACCCAACCCGATCATAAACCAAAAATATATGAAACGGATGAGGTGAACAAAGACAAGACATCCGAAACTGCGGCAGATGAGAGTGAAGACGATGATGAAGAAGACGATGACGAAGAGGTGAATCTTGAAGAACAAGTAGAAACATTAGCGAATGGTGAAATATCGGAAAACGAATCGGATAATGATAACAATGACAGCACAGATAAAGATGCTGGTCTTGTCAGCACAGTACTAGACGAAAAGAAAGACCAAGAAAAGGATAAAGACAGTTCGACGTTACAATATGAAGTTATAAATAGTGATACATCGCATATATTTGAGGGCCTAAATATAAACAACAACATTTTAGAAAATAAAGAACAGAAGACTGCTACGAATTCAAATGATATAGCGAGTGCAACTCCGCCCAATGGCAAGCTAAAGGAATTAGACAGACATGTTGTTTGTAACACCAGCACCAGTCCATCAACTACCACTGCTACCGCTGACTTTAAAATTGTATCTGTTTCTAGTCTGGACGAAGACATTTTATTATTTAAAAGCAACGATAACAACAGCAAAGTGTCTACAGACGGATCTACGACGAAGACTCTAGAGGAGATTGTAATATCAGATGAAGAATCATAGTGTTTACTTGATTTAAGTATTCCTAAACTACTATAATCACACCTTGTCAATATAAATTAGATGTTTTAGGTTACACTTTTGTTTTCACCTTATATTATTTATATTATTATCATCTGTATATATTTGTCGAAATTAATTATTGTGTTCTTATATATTCATATATATATTCTATTGTTCTGTACATATTCTTACTGTTTTATTTCAGCAATCAATAATTATAAAAAGAGTTAAAAAATAAGAGGTATATAAATGTATTTTTATCACGTACTGTATATAGTATTAGAATATGTAATAACCAATGAAGTCTTACATATTAAGTCCAGCATTCAAAGAAAATATTTTGTATTGTTTTTGTGTATAAATCACACAAGAAAATTTCAGTGTTAAGTCGACTAATAAATATAAATAAAATTTATATTTTCTAAACATTTCATCATCGTCAAAAATGTAGTGTTTTCTTTTCATTTGTTTGTGTATTTACAAATTTTTCAAAATTTTGAACTTTGAAAAGATTATTTAAAAAACAATTACATATATACCTTCGGGAACGATGTTCGTATATCCGAAGAAATAAATGCGTGTTTCAACATAATATAGGTAACGTTCATAAACACATTTCCTGGTACCAAATATTTAAGAAATATTTTTTTGATCGGTGCTAACTTTCAGATTTTAGTTAGGTGTCATCCATGGTATAATTATTACAAGGTAGGGCACAGCTACCAAATGATTACAATTTTTTCTCAAGATGGCTTGTTCCATCAAATCAAAATAAATATTTTGTGTATGTGTGTATTGTTTTGAATACAATCTCCAATAAATTGAAATATATTAAAGTTTAATTGAAATGAAAACAAAGTTTTTAACACGTTCGTCTGGAAGTATTTACTTTGTTATGAATGAAACAAACATTTTACGCATTCCATACTGGATTTTAGGAAGAAATCATAACTTTTCATTCTTTTTTTGCGTTTTTAGTTTTGTGTTGAAAAAATGTCAAAAAAAAACATATACAGTGGTGGTCACAGAATTAAAACATTTACTGTGGTAAACATTTTTTGATCAGCCGTCGATTCGTTTGAAGTATTTTTGAAATTTTTTTAATTCAGAACACTTCGATATACTCCACTTAAGAGAGTTAGTATGAAAATAGAAAATTATGGCATGCAATTTTTCCATAAATAACGGTTTTTATGAAAATACATCGTCTTTAAAGTGCCATATAATTAAAACATTCTGTGATTTTTTACTTTACTGCATTTTTTTGAAAATATTTTTAAAAAAGCTCTTTAATTTAGTTAAATTATGTAAACTAAGCACCGATAAAATCATTTGCTGATAAAAATTTTTGAAAAAAATCTGTAAAATCTATCAAAATTGCCAAAAATTTTTACAGTACACCTTACATTCAGAAAATAACCCTTATTATAGAAAATAAAGGTCCAAATGCACCAGAAATTGCTAGAATTAGTAGAAAACAATAAATAATTCTCAAAATAAATAAATATTTGAAATAAAAACTCAACAAAATGGGAATTAACCTAAAAGAACGATTCAATTTCGATATCCTTTTTTGAAGAAGGCCGGAATATTTTTGCAGTATGTGAGGAAATATCGATTGATATTGACATTTATTATATCAAATCGATTGTTTGAGTAGTACAGAATATATTTTATCAAAAAATATATCAGTCACAACAGAACGAACCGAGATCAACACCTATGTTGACGAGAAAACGTTTCTGGTACACAGCAGCATTTTTGATGCTCAACACAAGACTTTAAATGTTTGTCAAATTGTAATTTTTTTCTTTCTTTTAGGCTAAAATAGATTAAATGGACATTATTCTACTCAAAAAATATTATTTTGGAAAAATATTGTCATGTTCAATATATTTTAAGGGTCAAGAGTTAACCATCAAACATTCTGCTGTGTACCAGAAACGTTTTCTCGTCAACATAGGTGTTGATCTCGGTTCGTTCTGTTGTGACTGATACATTTTTGATAAAATATATTCTGTACTACTCAAACAATCGATTTGATATAATAAATGCCAATATCAATCGATATTTCCTCACATACTGCAAAAATATTCCGACCTTCTTCAAAAAAGGATTTCGAAATTGAATCGTTCTTTTAGGTTAATTCCCATTTTGTTGAGTTTTTATTTCAAATATTTATTTATTTTGAGAATTATTTATCGTTTTCTAGGAATTCTAGCAATTTCTGGTGCATTTGGACCTTTATTTTCTATAATAAGGGTTATTTTCTGAATGTAAGGTGTACTGTAAAAATTTTTGGCAATTTTGATAGATTTTACAAATTTTTTCAAAAAATTTTATCAGTAAATGATTTTATCGGTGCTTAGTTTACATAATTTAACTAATTAAAGAGCTTTTTTAAAAAAATATTTTAAAAAAATGCAGTAAAGTAAAAAATCACAGAATGTTTTAATTATATGGCCACTTTAAAGACGATGTATTTTCATAAAAACCGTTATTTATGGAAAATTTGCATGCAATAATTTTCCATTTTCACACCAAATCTCTTAAGTGCATTATATCGAAGTGTTCTGAATTAAAAAAATTTCAAAAATACTTCAAACGAATCGAGGGCTGTTCAAAAAATGTTTACCACAGTAAATGTTTTAATTCTGTGACCACCACTGTATATATATATATATATATATATATATATATAGACAAGAGGGAGGGGGAATAAATAATTGCAATAAATCTGCTTACGTAAACTAGAACGGTCCCTTACCTTTGGTATAATGTTCTTCTATAACGAGCTAATTTGCGTGGACCTACTAGTTCGCTATAACTGCACTTTACTGTTTGTCGAATATTAGGTAGAGCCATTGTACGATACAAAACCAATATATTTTACAAATTGTGTAAAATAATAAAGGTAGTAGTGTATAGGCTTATAATGACACATTAAAAGGTAAAAATCTTACACAATGGGTCGTTCGGATCGAAGACCCTTATGTCGTGGAAACGTATATAAAGGATTGTTTTGTTTAATTAACTATTTTTATAAATTTATTATTTAAGGAAAATATCATGAAAATGAATGAAACATAAAGTTTTTTCACAATGCAAATAGGATTCTAATAATATTTTTTAATTACAGGCTAATTAAATTTAATTTTTGGATAAGACGTTTCGTACATATATACAAATTGAGTTATTGTTTTAATATAAGGGGGCATCTCAAGAAAAAATAACCTACCTCTTGTTATATTACGGGTAGAGCTAAAAATGTCGTGACCGATATACAGCGCTTTGTCTTAATGGTAATGAAATTGGGAAATGATGTTTCATTAATTTTTACGATAGGCACAACCACGGTACAATTATTCAAGTTAGGCCATAGGAACGTATAAATTACATTGGTTTTATATTGTGCCGGGTTATGCCAAAGTCGTATACCAAATGTAAAATATATTTCCTAAAATCCGTTTGTATAAAGATTAATTTTACACCATTGGTGAGAAGAAATTTATGATTTGAGGGTGTATCCATATTTATATCATATTGAAATCTCAAATGAACAGAACGACTTGTTTCATTTGTTTTTATTTATTCTGACATTATACAGTATTTTTCGGTTAATTGAACCTACGGTTAATTGGTTTCCACGCTTAATTGAACCACAAGATGGGTCAAAAATATTTCATTTCATAGTAAGCGGGTTCGGATAATTGGTTCCTCGGTTAATTGAACAAAAATTTGTGCAAATTTTGATGTGCAATTAACCGAAAAATACTGTAGCTACAACGTAGAGGTGTATTTTTACTTTGTTGACAAAATATACCATACCTTGTACAATGGGCACAGAAATTTCTTGCGTATGTGTATATATTTTGTATAGGACACTACTGAACTCTATGTGCAGAGTTGAATTTACCTATTCACCTATTCCTCGATACTATCTCCTTATGTATATCTCACGCAAAAATATAGATTTCCAGATAACACGTTCATACAAATGAAGTATAACATTTGTCACATATATTAAAATTAGCTTAGGTAATTAATAAATTAGTTCTGTTTTTGAAAAGGCCTGCTAGAGAGCATCGATATTTAAAAATGCCGTACAAAAGACAATACCTAATTCTTTCTGGACGTCTTAAAGTTGAGCAATCGTATCAGTGCTACGTCGGGAATAGGTTGCGTAGTTAGTACTGTACGTTTCCAGTAACTGTACGCTCAAAGTAAACATGCAACATACTGAACATACCTCATATAATACTTAACACGTCATATAAGAAACAGCAAGAATTTGTACATTTGCTAAGAAATAAATAAATATCTCATATTTAAAAGGTTCGATTCTTTATTTTAAAACATAGTTCAGGCATTTTTATATTTCTACATTTTAGGTTGAAATAGAATGAGCAAAATGGCACAAGAAGAGGATACCAACTCAACACTTTTTTATGCCCGAAATGAATATTACATTGGAAACTTCATGGGCTCGGTCAACTTTGTGCTTCCTGAACAGGGAGCAGCTGGTTCGGAACTATTATCCTATATGTATTTGTCCTATCTGGCCATTGATTCAGGCAGACTAATAGCAAGTGATATCAAGGAGAACAACAACACACCACTTCTGGCTTTGCGCTACATACATGAAGCCTTTGAGCAACCTGATAAAATCGAAGACATTTTAAATAAACTAACAGATAAGGTAGCAGGCGAAGAAGATGAAACTAACATATGGCATATAGCTACAGCTATTGTGTACTGCTACGATGAGCAGTTCGAGAATGCACTTAAAATTCTACATGGATCAACTAATTTGGAATCGATGGCTTTGTCGGTGCAATGCCTGTTGCGATTGAATCGTATTGACCTTGCGAAACAGTTGGTGGGCAAGATGCAAGAAATCTCCGATGATCACACGCTGACCCAGCTGGCTCAAGCATGGGTAGCATTATCGACAGGCACCGAGTCTATGCAAGACGCATTCCATATCTATCAGGAATTTTGTGAAAAATACAAACCCACACCTTTGCTATTAAACGGACAAGCTGTAGTTCATTTGGGATTGGAAAGGTACGAAGAAGCTGAAGCGGTATTACGCGAAGCCTTGACCAAAAAACACAACGATTATGACACATTAATAAATATGATGGTGTTGTCACATTTGACCGGAAAATCTCAAGAAACCATTCAACGTTATTGGGAACAGTTACGCCAATTCTATCCCAAAAGCCAATTCGTTAAAAATTTCGATAAGAAATCTGAAGAATTTGATAAGTTATGTCTGAAGTATTCCATAGAAGGTACTGCCTAAGCTTAAAACTAATATAAAATTTTATGAACATATATATACATATATTCCAGTAAAGTAAATATAAATCTTTATTAACTAATTTGCTTTTATTTGTATAAAAATTGTGTAGGTATTATGTGTCCAGTGCGTTTCAGTAGCTAAAAGAAAAAACAAATATCAATGTGTCTGCCAATGCTGGAATATAAAATTGCACCTACTTTTGTTTAAATCCATACTTTTTCCGCTCATAGAAAAGATCCGTTTTAGAACTTCCAAGATTAACAATTTTCGGACAACCGTCACGCTGAATTTTAAATGAAACAATATGAAATTCAGTGCAAATGTAAAGATAATGCAAAACAAACTCACATCTTTCTCTTGTGTGGTACATTCTTTGCAATAGTAGGCATCAGAAACGCCGGCTCCACCACAAATCACACATCTACCTTGGTATGAACCATAGTTGCATTCATCGCATATGCGAACTAAAGTACAGGGTCTTACATAGGAATCGCAAATAACACATTTTCCGTCGCACTTCTCACATAAACGGCCAATTGCTACATGGAAAATGTGAAGTTTAGAAAATAGTTGTTAAGGAATTGGTAGAAGCATGGACCTTACCAACACCTGGTTGTTTGCGACAAAATATTAAATCAGGATGATGTTTTGCCATTTTACACTAGTTTTTATTCCTGGAAATATGGTGTCTTCTTGCCGGGAAATGGGAGAGTGTTGTTCTAAAATGAACTGATTATATTCACTAAAAGGAACTATTGAAACCAAGGCACATTTAATAAGGTAGCCGCAGTAGCGCAGCATTTGGTACAATTAAATGTCAAACATGTTGTAATTAAAATACAGGGGGCTAATCTGAGAGTCGATACCGTTCGGAATTATGGATATACGATTGAAATTTTGTAATTTTGGTATTCTGCCAGACGATATCGCTTAAAGTGTATCGGAATTTCGAATGCCATGAGGCGATAACGCTTAACTGTCACACGCAAGCTTTCGCTATTTTGAACGATAGTATATAAGCTATCGGCAAAACGGCTCAATTTCGAGTTTCTGCACTTTAAAGTCGAATGATAATTAGTCTGTTCCAGTACTTTTTTAATAGTATATCTAGTAAAAGGGAAACATTTCAAAATTGCTCTCAGAGTACAAAATAATTTGAAAAGTTCGGGAACGCAAATCTAGTAAATATGCCAAAATTCAAAGACATAACACAAAAGTTGCAACCAACAAATTTGTAAAAATTAGCTCTCTTAAATTTGATTCAATGTTTTACCAGTTTTGTGGGTTCAGGAACGATTTTTGAGTAAAAAGTTGCAAAACTTGTAAAATTAGTAGATTCCCTTAGGTTCTGGAGCGGAACTAATATTTAGTAGCTAAGGAGAATCTAATAAAATCAACTAAATTTCCAAATCATCGAAAATTGGGAAAACTTATATTGGGAATATGGATTAACGTGTTCCAATAACTTGGCTTACCTGCAGACAATAGGTAATTCTCTACCAAATGTTGTCGATCTTTTCGTTGGGAGACTGATTGAAACAGACACGCGGAACTTAATATAGTGGGTGGAGGGCATAAAAAATCTGTCAACGTAAATGGGTCACTTTTCATACGAAATTGTTTTCTTATAATCGTTAAACTACACAAACTAAAATCGGATACATTATTTTTGTGCATAAAATTCAAATTATTGTTCTTTTCCCGTACTGCAAGAATCTACTACTTTTTACTACGATAACAAATTTTTCTTTATGATATCGGCAAAAAAAGTAAAAACTAGTAGATTCTTGCAGCACACGAACAGAATATATATTTGCATTAAAAATTGTATGTTGTTGTATTGTTAAATCATAATGAAAAAAACTTTCCTTTATGACAGTGACAATATTTTCGGGAAATACTGTGTAATTTCCCGAAAATATGAATTACCCCCTTAATATCACTAGAACTGCAATTAAAAATTTTCTGTTTTATGGAGATTTGTATTTGCACTGATTGTGCTTATTGTGCTTTTTTCTTCAAATTTGAGCATATCATTTTTGAACCTTGTAATTGGTTTCATGTTTGTCCTCATACTTTTACAATAATATACCTATTTGTCCTTCTCACAAAATGACAAAGATAACACTGCGAGTTAAAAATGTTATGTACAATAATTATTTAGGTATTTGATGTTTTTTATTCATTTAGCCAAGCGTATAACCGGTCAATAAATAGCCGCTATTTGCATTCATATTAACTTCAGGATGTGTGCGATTTGGTAGAATTTGATACATGCGTAACCAATTAGAAGTCAAATGCAAGTTGGTTACCTTCGAAGAAGTCTTCAACTCGACATACAATTCCATTAATACTTCCTTGCTTAAGCTGAAAATAACCACCGGCCGTGATGGCTTCACGAACGGTAATAGTTCCTTAACCAAGTTGGCGGGATGCTCCTTAGAGGCTATAACTAGGGAGTCAAATTTGTTGCGCATTAAATCAACAGCTTTGCGATTTTCAATTTGCCACTTCTGAATTGTTGGTTTAGCTGATGCTTCGGATTGTTTCTCATCCCTAGTCTCGTCAGTACCTAATATGATGATGTTATGAGAATAAGTATGATATGATTTTATATTCCGTCTTACCATTATCGTCCATTTCATTTAATTTTTGCTTTTTAGAGCTGGGTTCTGTAACCTCTGCTTCATTCGTAGTCTCTTCTGATCCTTGATAGAATTCTCTCAGGACAGAGTAAATATTAACAGATATACATCTATTTGTTTGTTCGTCTGGTAAGTTGAGTGCTAGTACGGCTTGTTTTTGAGGTACATTTCCCGGGTGCATATGTACCATTGTGGCTTCAGTATTAGCACCTATGGAATTCAGGAAAGCAGCTGGTAGTAAACCATTAGATCCACTTTCGTACATCAAATAATTTCCAAATGCCGAAACTCCAGAATAAGAAATAATTTGTGATAATGTATCAACTCGCATACCCATAACTTTTTCAGCATCTTGTCTGTAATAGATTTCCGTGATGAGTCGAATTGTGGGCTGTCTGATCTGCACAAACTCGAAATATTTTTTCTCTTTCTTCTTCAAATACTTTTCTTGAGAATACTCCGTTTTCGAGTGAAAAGTCTTTGAATTTTCCACAATCTTCTCTATGATTTTGGTACTCTCCTTACATTCATCTCGCAACTGTTCTATATCCTCTGATTTCAGAGCTTGCGATCCTCCATCATCCTTAATGTTGCGATTGTCTTCGCCACTTTGTGATATCCCCAATACTTCACGAATATTTCTCATTTCAAGTTCATTGCACAGTTCCAAAGTGTGTAGACGCTGGCGACCACGATGGCTTTTGCCCAAGTCTTCTTTAGGGCACATTCTAAATGTGGCTCCATATGGTTGATCCAACAAACCTTTAAGTTCCAGTTGTTCTTTTCCCAGTGCCGCAGTTGCATCTAAATTTCCGAATTTTTGTAATTTAGTATACTTCTGTCTTTGTATAACTATATAGTCGCCAAGCTTAATTTTTTGTTGCTGCTCCATGGTCGTCATATTAATCGATCGAATGCAGAATGTTTTCCGCTCGCTCGTGTAAACAAAAAAAAAAAAAAAAAAACAGCTGTTACATACACGTGGATATAAAAAACTCAGTGCCCACGACGAAGCCTATTTGACGGCGTATATGGGTACAGTACTCATACGATAAGCTCTAAGCGTAAGAAACTGAATCAAATAATATCCACATTTAACAGTTTATATTCATTCATTTATTGAAACTACACTATCGCCGTAAATAAAATATAACTATTACTTTGGGAGCAGTTCGTTCAACTCCTAGTGAAATTTTGAATATCTAATTTTTACTGGAGAAACAAAATTATGTATTCGAAACGATATCATAAATTTGGAGGATGCGGTAATTTCTTGAAAGTTGAATAGATGTTGCTTATGTATTTAAATGATTTATGAGAATGCAGGAACATCCTTCAATTTAAACCAATGTCCACATTCACAGCGTTTCGGACAACCTTTTTCTAACCACATATAATTCACAAAGCGGTTTTCGTTGCCTTTAAACAATATTAATATAAGGCCAAAACTATTTCCAAATATATTACACTTACATATACACCCAATTATTCGGCCATTAAAGGCTGATGGTATAATGGTCGGATTTTCTTTGGTACCACTGCCTCGCTTTATAACTGCCATGTGATAAGGATCACATTTCCCTTCCATAAAAGCCAATATTTCCTTTTTCTGAAGACCAGTACAGAGGTCTAAGGGATCCGCCATTTCTTTTAATACAAAGAGCATTTTATAAGATACCTTATAACGGTCCAGATAATATTCTTACTCTCAAATTTGTTACGTGTCGTATAAAACCATCTTTGAGCTAACGAAAGTGATTTATAAAGTTTGCGACAAGATATTGAATTCATTTCCTTGGGAGTATTGTTCAAAATTTAATATGTAGAAAAAAATTGTCTATGACAACTTTTTCATTGACTAGAATTTTTAATACTACTTTATTCATTTATGACAAGTTTTTATAGAATTGTTGTTAATTTGGTTGGATTTTTAGTTGAATTTTTATTTAGGCTTAAACATAACAAAGCGTGCTATGACGATATACAACGCATCTGTATTTGGTTTCTTCTCAGAACTTCCTAAGGAAAAAGTAACCTCATGTATTTTAAGTTATATACAAACTATGGCATGTCTTGTTTAAGAGAACGCTTTGTATTAAAATTGTTCCGGACAACAACAAATGTTGGAAATAATTCACGTAGATGTTTTTTGTTTAAGGTTACTTTTTACTTATATTTCTTGGTAAACAGAACGATACTTTAGTTTTTAAACGTGTTACATTTCGCCTAATTTAGACTGCAGCCTTTTCGATCAATTTGAACCAGTGACCGCATTCACAGCGTTTGGGAGTACCCTTTTGAAGCCACATCCATTGGACGTAGGTTTGATCTTCTTCGCCTGTAAAGTTAGTAAAGAATTTTGTGAGATTTCGTTTCTCCAAATGATTTTTCATCTACTTACAGATGCAACCAACAATACGGGCGTCAAAAGCGGAAGGTATCAGGTTGGGGTTTTCCTTTGTGCCAGCACCACGCTTGAACACTTTCATGTCGAAGGGATTGTCGTTGCCGGCAGCCTTGGCCAACAATTCACGCTTTTCAATACCAGTGGCATGTTCCATGGGATCGTTCATCACTGAAAACAGCACACTTGATTAACACAGTTGCATATACATCAGTAAGAAAACAATAAAACGAAGCTCCTATTTCTGATGTAGGTACCAAAACAATTCGCATTTAGCCCTAACGACTGAGACTTCATGTTCATTAGTCAACCCTCAGCTGTTGTGCTTGTTTACATCAAACAATCCCCAACAATAACCCACCAGTTTTCTAAATGATTATCCTGGGAAAATATTCCCTCAAAGAAATTTTATTTCCAATATAGAACAGAAAATAGAAGTGAGCTTCAGGTTTATACAAGATGACAGCGATGACGCCAAACGATGGGGTCGAGCATGTTACATAAACTTAGAAAAAACTGCATTAACATAGATGTGACGCATTCTAAAATATGTATATAAATATATACAACTCCAATTCAATATTTTCCCAAATTATTTACAAACTTTTTCAGCTGTTTGTAAATTTGTTTAAAGTTTCCAACTCATATGATTTTATGTGACATCTTAGTATGAATATGTGTGAGTGTGTCGGTACTCTTGAAAGTATTACATAAAACCAATCAGAATTCACAGTATTCATACCAGAATTTTCTTTTCATTTATGATTCTTTGTTTCTTTCATTTACGGGTTTTTTACAAGGAATATTAATTGATGTTACGTAACTAAGTTTGGCTGTCATGACCCCCTAATTCGCGAACCATATTCCATCCATTTCCAGTCTAAAAGAACTGTCAAAAATGGGAGCCTCGTTTTTTTCTTGCTGGGAAAATAACCTTTTTTGGAAAAGGAAAAACTTACTCTTGCAGAAGCGAACTGGAGTGTATGTGACATTTTGACGTGCAGCGGCACGCAGAGCCATGCGTCCACAGACAGAAGCCATTTTTATGTTTATTTGCGGATTTTTTTAAACTTTTAATAAAACTAAAATTTCGTAATTTCCACACACACGGGACTGCGGCGATGAAAAAATCGTTCGTTTGACGGACAGCGCTGCGAAGTAACGAGTCACAGTTGATGAAATATGTATTTTTTGGAGACAAATACTAACAGTGTTGCTTAAATGTGTACTGTTTCCATACAACTCTGTTGAATTGTATCGACGAATTTTACGCTAAACGTAGTGTTTTAAATTATAACGTATAGTGTACAGCGTACAGTGATGCAATTTTTCAAATGACAGTTTAAAATTTGAAATTTTTGATAGGAATAAAATACGAAATTAAAATACTTGTTTGGTCTTCTTGTAGAATCTTTAATTCTAAAATTCGAAATAATAAAGATTACAATAAAAATACATTTTCGCCTACGATGTCAATACAAACGTTGACGATATGAATCGTAATTTTATTGAGTGACATATTTTGCGAAATTTTAATTTCTTTTCTGATTAATTAATGCAATTCAATAAGTCAATTCATGGTATAATAATATATGTGTTTTTTCAGTTATTTTTCAGTAACGACTGTGAGAGTCAGAGAGATTCTTCTTTGAACAATAAAATTGCAAAAGTAAAATTATGGTATTGAAAAAAAAAAAAAATAGCAACAATTAGGAGATTCTTGCATTCTTGCGAATAAAAAGCTATTTTCTGAATGAAATACACATTAAAAATAAAGGAAATATTTATTTGATGTAAGTTGTGTTGAAGAAAAAGCTTTTAAGTTAAATCTATTGAATATATTATTCGACAACATTTGCTTCATAAAGTTAACAAATTACCGGATACGGCCTCATACAAATCAATAAATCAATAATGTAGCTTTCTGATTTTTTTTAAATAAATAAATTTCATAAAGTTAAAAAATTACCAGAAACAGCCTCATATCATTCATTTGCTGAAAGATCGGCAGAAATCAAAAAATCGTGAGTTGCAGAAAATGCTTCTTAATCAGTGTGTGAAAGAGATAATCATCTGATTTTTTACACAACATGAAGTCTGATATACCCAACAATGATTTATGCCGGTCTTGCAGAAAAGGTGCGATATGTATTTTAGATCGCAGTATAATTTTTTGTCGATTTAGTGTTGACAACTGTAGAAATGAATATATGAATATTATTATCCTTAGACGGGAGGCAATGCATATCCCCAGCCTTAAGACCAATGAAGGTACTTATATACACATTCATACGATCAACAAAATATGGTTTTTATATACGTACATATGTCTTGCTGGCCTGTTCGTTATATTATTTCTACCAAAGCTAAATCCAGTCCAATCTATATGCCTGGCAATGTAATGGCTATATATGTGGTTTTTAAATCGAAGGATTGTTTAGATTAATCAAAGACAGGGACTTGTGTAAAACAATGACGTTGTTTGATTAATCCGATTCTAATTTTTATTTAGTAAAAATAATTCTTCGAAAACAACAGAAGTATGAACATAATTATGCACACAAATTACTTAGCATTTGTTTCGTGAAAATGGCAATATATTTATTTGCAATGGTTGGCGCATTCTTTGTCTTTGGTGCCGTCTGTTTGGTGCTGATACCGTCTTGTTTGCAAAATTGTTGACGTTATCGTCGAGCAAAGCTTAATTTGTGTTGTTTCCAATATAGAAATTAAAGCAGAATGGACTCGATAACACTTTGATGGCATTCACACTTATTGTGTTCCATTTTTTGTGGTGTAAACCAATCGGGTTTTATGTTAACATGTTTTGGATTCAAATTAATGGATCGGGGTGCTAAATAAATTTCGCAACATGTCTATAAACGTTGATCTTTGAAATATGACGAATCAATTTGCTGCGAAAGAGAATATTCGCAGCAGAAACAACAATAAATACATATCGGGTAAAATAACGTGCAGACAAATGTGTCTACATCGTAACTTTGTAGTTCCTTCAAATATTTAATTTCTATTAGTTTTTGTAAATATTCCAAATTTTAAGAAATGCAATGTAAAAATTTATAAAATATTAAAAAATGAGCTGGAAATTAACATACACAATCATTTTTTGAGAGACTACAATATTTTTGATATTTTTAATACTACATGTATAAGCATTAGTTTTTGATTTGTTATTAATTATATATTGATACAAATAATATTTTATGAGAAATAATTCCCAATATTGTCATAATGTTACATAATATCCCGAAATTCAAAACTTGTGGGAATGAACAAAAGAAAAAATATAGGAGAATACATTTCGTCGACGAACATCTAATGGAAAAAGTTTCACATAATTTATCAATATTTGGTACTTTTACCTTAAGAAATTCGATATGAATCCGCACAGAATACACCAGAGAAAAGCTATAAATTAGAGTTTGTAATAATCATATGTGTGTTTATACATACACATGTGGGGGACGGACGAAGGAATACTTCCGAAATTTGTAAATAACACAAAACAATTAACAATTCACTTGATACATTTCTAATAGTCTGTCCGTAGCAGTATTGGGATGATTTTTAAGCGCCTATGAAAATGGTTTCCCAGATAGGGGATGTAGTAGGAATTCTCACATAAATGAGTGTTTATACTTTAAGTGGTTGTCTTGTGGCTCCAATACCCAGAGGAAATGCTCCCTCTAGTAAAACGGTACACAGCTAATAATGTGTTGACAAATCGTACAACATAAATAACACGAATTGCTTCAAATATGTATTTTACTTCCCACTATTGATGACGAAGAGCAAAGTAATATGGGAGGTTTTATGAATGATTCGATTGAACAAATTATTCGGAACAAATTATTTGTATTGATGACAGTGTTTTAGAAAAAATAGGAAAAAAGAGGCTCATGTTAATAATAATAAAAAATTAGAATAAAAAATGATGTACCACATCGCCTGTCCCATGAGATTGTTTACAGGCATACAATGAACGGATATGGTGGAATGAAACTACATATTAATAGTCCTTACTCATCACTTAATGATTACAATACGTAGGACGGAATATTAAGGTTTCAATTGGAAACTAGTGAATATATTTATTTACATAATAATAAATATTGTTTACATTTTTATCCCATTTCGTTGTCAACCTACTACAATTCTTGGCACGAATGAGTAACTAACTGTCATAATAAAATTAAAAAAATCTTAAGTTTCTGGTTTGTGTGTTCTTGAATAAACTGTGACAGAAAAGCTCTATGGTGTAATGGGAGCTTATTATTTTAATACATAATAATACATTTAATGTTGTTTCTGTATTTCGTCTCGAAAGTGAAAAAACAACATAGAATAATAATATTTCTTTAATGGTTTCCCCAAACTGAGTTTATATAATTTAATTAGTTTATTGCTATTAGTATTCTATATTCTAATAACTATTCAAATTAAATATATGACAAAATAGATGTACAGAATAATATATATCCATTTTTTTATATTTCATATCCTTTAGCCTCTCAGGAATACAGACAAATACATTTCGTAGTACGACATTGATTTCTGTAAATCGTCATCAATGAAAACATGACTGATATGGAAAGTATTTACCAAAGTGAAAGATAGTGTAACCGGATACTTAAAGGAAGTTACCTTGAATGCATTCCACACACACACTCATAGGCAACTACACAAACCAACAAAATAAAAGACTATTGCACTGTACATTTGTAAATGTACATTTCAGTGGTAAATTAAATGCACCAGCAGCTAATGTCGGTGTGTGTGAGTGTGCAAAAATGTAGCCCCTGACTGAACGTTTGTTTGCTTTGACATTTGTGAGGTTTCCTTTGTATTCCATTCATAAAGTGACTGCATTTGCCCATTAATGAAACTGAGTTGTACAAACATTTGATGACGGTAGCTTTGTTCATGTTTATTGACATTTCAAGTATCTCACTTTGAAGATTCGGACCATTCACTTTTGACTACAGCTGGTCCTACTACAGACCTCTTGGTAAATACGATGCCATTTGCGGGCGTATTTAAACACAACTATGTAAATATGTGACCGGCAATTTATTGGCATTGTGGCGTCTTCTAATATAAATAAATATATATTTAATCTATAAAAAATGACAGAACAAGAAATAACAGAAAATTTCCTCCCTTAATGTGTTTCCGTATTTTACAAAATAATGTTTCTGATCCAAGAAAGTTGCATACTCAATTTATTTTTGCGACAAATATACATACTGGTAATAGCTATGTGACTTAAAATGGTGTCCTTAAATAATTGTAACACTCTTTACGAGCAATGAATTCCATTTCCACAATATTAATAATTGTATTATTGATGCTCCCATAATCCTTTGCCGAGAATAAAAACTAAACATCATTAACACCAAATATTTTTATTTGCCTTTTTATTTTCCATTCTCCATTTGGAAGATAAAGATCGCTTTTGTTATCAACTTATAACTGAACCAACCATAGGTAATTTTTTTGGTCACATCTTTTGTGTGACACCACGGGGTGCCTCAGTTGGCTACGACAATCAATCGTTTAAATAATGTGTGTGGCGGTGGTCACAACGAAAGGTGTTTTGTATTTTCACAATGCTCTAACAAAAATAGAAATTAACTTAGTTAAATGCAAAAGAATAATTAGATCATTTATATTAGAAATAGTTGTTTGTAAATTCTGTTTTTGTATAATTTTTATACCCTACGCAAGTATGTTGTCAGGGTATTATAGCTTTGTGCAGCCCCAAGAGTTTGTAACGCCGCGAAATATTGGTCCTAGACCCACCTTTAAGTATACCGATCGTCATATCTCGACTAGCTGAGTCGATCTGTCCATTATAATTTGTAAACACGATACAGGCCACAGTTATGGACCAATCTTCTGGCTAATGAAGACCCCTATTGTTTTTGATAAAGATCGGTTAATATTTATGGGATGAAATGGACCAAATACTAAATTTTTGCCGGTTTCTCTGGTCGCTCCAGAGACCGCAGTTATGGTCCGAACATCCTGAGAATTTTCATGGAGAAGGGAATCGGGCCTAAGAATAATCATGCCTGTTTTGATAAAGATTGGTCAATATTTAGCGGGTCAAATGGACCCTGACTTGATAAAGACCCAGACCCAGACTTT